CAAATCTGACCTCAGACAATTACCAGTTATGTGATCCTGGGCAAGTCCCTTTAACCCTCTTTGCCTCAGTTTCCTCATCTATAAAATGAACTGAAGAAGGAAATGGCAAACCACTCCAGTATCTTCGCCAAGAAAACCCCACATGGGGTCATGAAGAGTTGGACACGTCTGAAATAACTGAACAACAATCTATACCAAAAGTCCATGAAACGTCTGCTGATGGCATATCTCATAATGAGACTAAGAGAGCCATGACTGGTTTCACTTTAATGAGCTTTATTCTAGTGAAGAGTTTGAAGTACTTGATGCCCTTGGAAATGGATTTATTAAATTGGAATGCTATTGGGGCAGAGTTACTAAAGTGGATAAACACAGAAGAAATTATTTGGGAACGATTAATTGTAATGCCTTAATCCTTTTATTGTCTTCCTATCACATGCTGAAGTTCAGTGGAAAGAGAATTGACTTCAGAATCAGATGACTTGAACTTAAATCCTAATTCTGGAACTCTGTATCACTGGGCAAGTTACTTAATTGTTCTAAGCAGAGTTTCTTTACTTGTAAAATGTGAGAATCAGATTAGATGATCCCAAAGAACCCTTCCAATTCCAGATCTATGGCCCAAGCTCTCCTACCTTGCCCCAGGAGCCTTTTCTAGGTATAATAAACTTTTGGAGAATCAGGCCTCTTTTTTCCCAATCTGAACTTTTGGCCATATCATCTCCTGGGAAAAGAATAACCTCTTGCCCGATGAGTTCTAGCCCATGCTCTACTACTAACTAGTCCTGAGAAGCCCAAGAAGTACAGTGATATGCCCAAGGTCATTTTTCTCCCTTGTAAAATGAAAGCATTGGCCATGATGATCATGGTCCCTTCTAGTTTCCAAATTCTAGAATTCTAAATCCTAGGAGCATAAAAATGCAGAAGCCTTGATTCTAGCTAATTACCCTACATGTAGATAATTTAGCTCTAAGACTTTTCTCAGAAACAAGCCATTTTTTTCCATCAAAGTGAGATTCTGAACTTTACATTGGCTATAATATTGTTGTATAGAGACATACTTTAGCAATAATAATGATGATGATAAGAGTTCACATGTACAAAATCACTTAAGGCTTGCAAAATATTTTCCATACCATATATCATTTGATCTTCATATCAACTCTGAGAGATAGATGCTACTACTGAATGAATGAATGAATGATGGAAGGATGGATGGATGGATGGATGAATGAATGAATGGGAAAAAGAATACATAAAAAAACATTTATTAAGCACTTACTACACTCTTAACACCATTCTAAGTGCTTTAATTACAAAAGTAAAAGAAATCTGCCTTCAAGTAGTTTACATTTTAATGGGAGAAACAACACATAAAGAAGAGTAGTGCTCAGGGAAGAACATTTTGTTGTGGAAAGAAAGGATGGCAAATGAGGCCAAAGGGTTTGGCACAGGAACGATGACAGAGTTATTCATATGGTTCATGGTTCCAGAACTGGGTGCTGTTCATCTTTCATTTTGATGAGGACCAATGACATTATGGGGTGATGTCTTGACTTGCTCATGAATTGGATTTAAGTGAGGCAGAGTTGCACAAAGTCCTCAGTCTCACTCTTTCTCCCAGAGTCATTGAAGTCCGGCGGCAAGACAAAAGTCAGGACAGATGGGGATGGCCCAGGATGCAGTGGATGACCTTAGCATCTTTGATGCCTGGCCAAGATCTAAGCACTCCACAGTGCCTGCTTCAGCCTCCTTCTTCATAGCCATTGGAACAAATAGTTCTCATCTGTCCATTCCACCTAAGGGAAAGTCTTCATATGTTTGAAGTAGACTTCCTTCTAAGTTAATGAGAGGTCTGAGGCCTTTTGGTTAACCTCATTTTGATTAAGCCCATATGCTGAGACTGTTTTACCAGGGTGTGGCCCCTGTGCACGCTACAGCTTTTTGGAGCCACAGGTGAGAGTTGGTGGCAGGTGGACACCAAAGGTGGATGAGCAGCCCTCATGCCAGAGGTGCTAGTACTCCCTGAACACTCCACACATCATTTAGTGGATAGGATGTTTGTGTCTCAGTGCTTTTTGTCTGTATGTCTAGTGGCCATATTTTGCATAGACACATCTCGTAACTGAAAATTCTAGCTTTTTGGCAATTAATCAATGGAAGCAAATTATTTTGACAGAGCTCATTAATATTTTAGTTAACATTTCTTTTCCTATTTGTTTCCTATTTGCTTCACCACTTACAAAGACTGAGCTTCATTGACTTCACTAATGACATCCTCATTGCCTTGCTCCATACTCACTACACCTCTTACCTCAAACTGAATCCATAAATCTATACTAAACATTAAGTTGATTTAATTCACATTTGTTACCCAAAGAACAGTCTAACTAAGTGTGAAAAACCTCATTACAGAGTCATAGAATCTCAGAGTTAGAAGTGACCTAAGAGACTATCTAAATCTAATATTCAACTTAGAATCTCTTTTACAATATCCCCACCAAATGATCGTCCAACCATTGTCTGAAGACTACTAGTGAAGGGAGAACTGGGTGTGGAAGTCCCAGAGTGCTGGCAAAACATCTAGAAAGTGGGAGGCAAAGACCAGACAGTTATAAGTAGAGTGCTTTTCCTGAAATAGTGGCCCATTGATAGCTCCACTTTACAGATGAAGAAACTGAGGCTAAGAAAGTTTAAGTGACTTATTCAGGGTCATGAAGCTAATGAGTGTCTGAGGGGAAGATTCAAACCCAGGTCTTCCAGTACTTTACGAGTACTTTATTCAGCCAACCTGAGGATGAGCCTTTCCAAATGGAATTCCCTGCTTCTTGGATAACATTTGGACTATCCCTGGGTCTGAACTCAAAGCCTTTCCCACTGGGTTGGACTAGATAGAATTTGACAGAACCATAACTATGGTTAAATGCCAGAAGAAGACTTCTTTAGAGTTTTATAAATACCTCATGGATAAACCTAAGTGATATTTTATGAATCTATTGACTTTCTTTTTTTTTTCAAATTCTTTGAAAATTAGGGGCGGCTAGGTGGCCGAGTGGATAGAGCACCGGCCCTGAAGTCAGGAGTACCTGAGTTCAAATCTGTCCTCAGACCAAATACTTGACACTTACTAGCTGTGTGACCCTGGGCAAGTCACTTAACCCCAACTGCCTAAAAAAACAAAAAAAAATCAAATTCTTCAAAAATTAATAATGTGTTGATAATGAGAAAAAAATGACTATCAAGTCTATATCTAATTTACTACTGTGCAATGAGATTTTAGAAATCCTTTGGTCAGCTGGAGTAAAGCCAGAAAAGGAAGTGGCATTCTAATTTCTCCTTAGTTTAGAATTGAAATGCAAGATGGACAATAGAAAAGTGACAACTAAGATATACTAGGTCTTGATATGACTGGCCTTAGAATCCCAAATTAGCTCTTAGCAGGGCTAGTAATCTAATTATTTGTGGGGGTTGACATTTATATTCCAGCTTCCCTTAAGCATTCCTTTAAAACAAAAAGACTATATTTCATATGATTTAATATTTCAAGCAAATATTTTAAAATTTCTTTCAATTTCCTTACAAATATTCATTTTACTGATAAACTACTAAAGCCTCCCACTTCTATGTTGGTTTCCAACTCAAATTATAAAAAGTCAGTTCAGTAAAGTAGCAGGATACAAAATTATCCCACCAAAAATTATTAATCTTTCTGTATATTATCAAGAAAATAACAAAGAGCTATTCATCACTTTCTTACAATAATTAGCTTGTTTTAAGCCTGAGACAATGTAATGGCCCCTAGGGTTCACATGCCTTCCTCCTTTGAGGCTTCACGTTTATTTTAGATTAAAAGCTATGAGTTCACTCATTAAAGGCAGTGAGGTGGTACAGTGGATAGAATGCTGAGCCTGGAATCAGGAAGACTTTAGTTCAAACTCTGCCTCAGACACTTACTAGTTATATGACTTCGGGCAAGTCATTTAATCTCTATTAGCCTCAGTTTTCTCAACTGTAAAGTAGAGATAATAATAGCACCTACTGTTATTGGGAGGATCAAATGGTATAATATTTGTATAGCATTTAGCACAGTGACAGACACATAGTAGGCACTATATAAAGACATTATTATTATTGTTATTATTATTATTATTATTATTATTATTATTATTATTATTATTATTATATTAACTGCTGAGTCAACATTGTTAGGAAAACACCTATCACGTAGGAAGAAGCTGGATTCACTTTCTCTATTTGCATTTATATTTATTTCTAAGCAGTCCCTGTCATCTTTGTAGTTGAGGCAAAAGTCAGATCACTGGAAATATTTGGGTAACAAAACAACAGACTATGTTATAACGTCTGAGAATAGACAGACACCAGGAGGGGAGGTTGGGGAAAGAGCAGATCTTTTCTCAGGACTTCACTCACTTCTTAAGTGTGTGGACACCCGGGTGGCATCAGTCTGAGTTTCCCACTCTAAGATATCTAGAACCAATGTTTCTCCTTCATATCTCCCTTCCTTTTACTCTTGACTTCTCTTTCTCTTTTCTCTGGTTACTCCTGGGCTACCGAATTTTTCTGGCTCAGTATAACCCCAACATAATATCATTATATTATTATATTACTTTTCCTCTCAGCTTCCAGACAAGCAGAACCTTGGTCTAGTTCTGAAATAGCGAGCCCCCCCCCTTTAAATATATATTTCTCAGGGCACAAATAAGTCTCTGAAACAATGACTTTGATCCATTCAAGAAAATGTACAGATCCTGCTTACAACCAGCTCTGATGGATTAATTCAATAAAGAAGTATTTTTACTTTAAGTGGGATGGGATAATTAATGGAGTAACACCACACTAGATAACAAAAGAAAGTTTATTCAAAATTGCTATGAAGCGTTTAAAATATATGAGAGTTCATTTAACAGGACATATAAAGGAATTGTTTAAATAGTCATAAAAAGTTGTTTATGCAAACAAAAACAAACGATTGGGGAGGAATTAATTATACTTGCATTCTACTTCAGCTTCCAATAAAGGGAGACAATGCTTCCTGTTTCTTTAAGGAGAAAACCCTTTTCCCTTCTTTCTTTCTCACTCTGTCACTGTTAACTATGCCAAATTAAGACTGATGGTAATTGACCTTTCTTTATATCAGTGGGAATAGATGTGAAGGCATTGTATGGGGAATGAACAATTGGGGCATCAGAAGAGGATATTTGGACAAATGGTGGAGAGTTGTTCACCCACAAAGGATGGAGGAAAAAGGGAAAAAATTAGGTGAGGTACCTGGTATGTTTGACTCAGGAGCCTGGTCCAACATCGGCTGCTTCCTCTACCACATTACATGGCTCGCATCTTTGCTGGCATCTCTTCTTGGGCTCCAAGACAGCTGGTACTGAGGCACAGGTGTGGGTCATTATCCAGATCCCTGTTTGAATGATCTAGGATGCAGATCTTGCCCCAGCATGGTTACTGCAGCTTTCCCTTTGTCTCACCTCCCAGCGATAAGAAATGGATTCTTTTTCTTTGTTGCCTCTACAACAAAAGGTTTAATATCAGGTTCCTATGAAGTCTGGGTGAAAAAACAAAAATCTGCTCAGCTACCATAGCTACTTGCTGCACTTCATGGCCCCATGGCAATGTTGTGAGGCAGAGCTATACAAATATTGACCACTGGATTTTTTTTTCTTTGCAATTCCATAGTGAAAGCATAAATTACATCTAAACACCCCATGAAATTATTAGTACATTATGTACAGAAAATATTGTATGAGAGTTTTGGATACCAAAGCAAACAAAAAAATAGGTTATTCTCCTGTGCTGGGATTATCAGAAGAACAAGAAGTTCTGTTCTGAATGTCTCTGAAGAGTGACAAAGTGCTCTGATATATTCTCCTTCATAAATCATCTGTTTTGAAAATCTCTTGGTGACTCTCCTATGTTATTTTTAAAAATAGCCTACTATGGTAATTTTTGATTACTAAGCATTTTAATTAGCCTGTCCCTCCTACTCCCCCACTGAGCAAAAAAAAAAAGAAGCACTCAGTACATAGTCACATAATTCAGAAAAACAAATTCCCATATTAGCATGTGCAAAAATATGTTTTTTGAGCATTTCGAGTTCACCATGGCTCTGACATGAGAGCCACGCTTCATTGGACTTGTGGTTTATCGTTACACTGATCAGATTCCTAATGTATTTCAAAGTTGTTTTTTTCTTCTATGCTATTATTGTGTGTATTATATGTATTATTGTATAAATTATTCTCTTAGTTCTGTTAACTTTGCACAAGTTTATAGAGGTCTTCCTAGTTTTCTCTGAAATTATCTATTTCATCATTTATTATGGCACATTAATATTCCATTACATTCATATATGACAATTTGTTTAGCCATTCTCCAATAGGAGGACAGCACCATGGCTTTTAATGGCTACTACAAAAAGAGCTGCTATAAATAGTTTTTTACATATAGATCCTTTAACTCTTTCTTTGACTTGTTTGGGGTCTATACTAGTGGGTCAAAGGGTATTCACAGTTTTTGTAACTTTCCTGGAACTGTCCCCAGAATGGCTGGACCAGTTCACAGCTCCACCAAGAGTGTGCAAATGTACTCATTTCCCCCTACCCCCTAGGATGGGATACCCACACAAAAGCTGATGTAGTTCTTGCACTCAAGGAACTCACTTTTTAATAGGGAGAGACAACATATCTGGGAGGCTTTAGTTGCAAGTCAGAGGGATAGAACCCATAGTCCTAAGGGTACAGCAGTAATGCAGATGATAATACTTCCTTAATGTTATTTCCATTAATAAACTCTTGTCTATTCCAGATGTCAAAGCCTGTGTTCCCTGGGATAATCTTTGTGAGGGCTGGACTAGAAGCAGGACCAGTGGTCTGAGTGGTGGGACTTCCGTCACTCCCAAGACAATGTTTTTTCCTTTGGTGTCAACAGTTGGTATTAGTGGTGGTGAGGAAGACAAGACCCTTCTCCGTAGTGATTTCTCCCATAAATGATGACTGTGGGACCTGAGGTATAAGCATGGCTAGTGGTTTGCAGGAGGGCACTGCTATGCCCAAGGCTCTCGGGTTCAGGGTCCTGGGCTATCTCCACTAAGTTAACTTTCTTAGCTTACCTGTAGAATAAGAAAAAATAGTCATTGGACTTGCATAGAACATAATACCTCCCAAGTCTGTCTGTGGGTTACTTGCTTCATTAATTTGTGTTTCTATTATTACTACTGATTTAGAGCATTTTTTCACATGATTGTTGATAGCTTAGATGTCTTCCCTTAAAATTTGTTTTTTTTAAAATATATCATTTGACCATTTATCTATTGTGGAATCACTCTTATTCTTACAAATTTAAATCAGTTCAGTCTAGACTGGAGGCTAGCACTGAGTCCCTGCTCTGCTCCTGAGATCAGAGCTCAGTGACCACAGTTTACCTCTGCACCTGTTTCTTACTCAGCACCCATCTACAGCACATGACCAGATCTTCTCTGCCACAAAACAAAACAACCTAGTAACAACTAACATATTTATGCAGTGCTCACTATGTCTGAGGCGCTGCTAAGTGCTTTGCAATTATTTCATTTGATCCCCACAACAGCCTTGGGAAGTAGGTACTATCATTACCCCCATTTTATAGATTAGGAAACAGAGACAAATAGAGTGACTTGCCCTGGGTCATACAACCAGCCAGTGTCTGAAGCCAGATTTGAGCTCAGGTCTTAGGACCATCATTATCCACTGAGCCATGAAGCTGCGTCCTCCATAGTCCATGGTCATTCTAGTGGAGTGGGAGAGGGGAGGAGGAGATATTGTCTCAGAGAAGCAGATTTGGCTTCATACCATTTTTTTTTTGATATTCAAAAGTGGAATCGAGGATTTGACAAGTTGTTCATCACTGACAGCCTTTAATCAAAGGCTGAATGGCCATTTATTAGGAACACTGTCGAGAGGATTCCTCCTCAGAGGTCTCTAGTAGTGTTATAATTCTATAATTCAGCAGAGGACCCAGTCCTTTCCCATACCTTATTCTGGAAAAATAAACCCAACATGCACCATTTCTTTTAGGAATTTTAGATAGTTCATAATTACAGATCCAAGTCCCTTTCTGATGCCCTATCATGGTGTGGAGTTGACATTATTTTCAGAAGCTATGCCAGTACATGACAAGTTCTGGTTTGTTATATGATTATAGGATTATAGAGTTAGAAAAAAAGGGGACCTGAGGAATGATCTAGCCCAGTTCCTTCATTTTACATGTTAGGAAATGGAGAACTAATGAAGCTGAGTGACTCATGATAGTTGCATGGATCGTAGACTTATAGAAAGCTTCAAGCATGTCCTCAACAGCCTGTGTCTGTCACCTGAAGACCAGTGTAATTGAACTTGGAGATTGGTGTTCAGTTATTTCAGTCATATCTGACTCTTTCTGGCTCCACTTGGGGATTTTATTTTTGGCAAGGATACAGGAACGGATTGCCTTTTCCTTCTCCAGCTTATTTTAAAGATGAGGAAACTGAAGCAAACAGGGTCAAGTGACATGCCAAGGGTTACACAGGTAGAAAGTGTATGAGGCCAGATTTGAACTCAAGTCTTCCTGACATCAGGCCCAGTGCTCTAGGCACTGTATTACCTAGCTGCCCTAATATAAAGATGTCTCTCTCTACAATGGCTAAAGAATAGTAAATTTTGTAGACACAGGAACTCTCAGAGACTTTGTACTAAGGCATAGATGGACTGTGATTTGTGTTGCTGGAGTGATTATTGACACTGAAGACATACATGTAGGTCCTCAAAGAATTTCAGTAACTATTCAAATCAAGCAGAACATAAAAAGAGAATAATATAGGCTTTCCTAAGGTAATTTCGATTTCCTAACTTTCGTGGAGGAGATTTAGAATATAGCAGGGATTCTCTCTCTCTCTCTCTCTCTCTCTCTCTCTCTCTCTCTCTCTCTCTCTCTCTCTCTCTCTCTCTGTTTTTAGGCAAGTGGGGTTAAGTGACTTGCCCAGAGTCACACAGCTAATAAGTGTCTGAGGCTGGATTTGATCTCAGGTCCTTTCAATTCCAGGGCTGGTGCTCTATCCACTGGCTGCCCCAAGAGGGACTTTTGTAGTCTCCACATGCTCATTGTTGCCAATGAGATTTTCCTTATTGCAATCAAATCATGAAACCTTGCAGATACCACCAAATGGGATCCATCATCACTCAAAAGTAGCTGGTTTAGCTGTCCCCATAGGAAAATAAATCACATGGGTATGCAGTTGGGGGATAACATGCATCTGGAGCAAACATGAGGTTGAAGAGGAGGAAGAGTACAAGATGGAATGACTTCAGAAATTGGAAGGTAGTTCAAGCCTTATTACTCTTTTTTCCCTTTATTTTCAATCTGTGTCTGATGTGAAGCTCCATGAAGATGAGTGACCAGGATAACACCATAACCAGAAAGTTGAGAGTTAGAACTTGCCCTCAGTTCTTCTGCTTCCTCCACCAGGGTTCATTCTTCTAGACCATTCAGAAAAAGCAAATTCCCTAAAATATGCTTCAAAGGAATGGAAAGAGAGTTGAACAAGTCTTATACTCTTTCTGTTTAAGTACATAATGGTTTGTAATGTTCTAAGGGAGATGGTTGTTTTTCTGTCCTGTATTTCCAGGGCCTCTCTTGATCATCTCTCAGATAAAGCCCAACTTAGTCATTGGCATGGATCATTTCCTCCATTGAGTTGGAAAAATACAAATCCCATCTACACAACAACCACCAATACTGGCACCCAGATACTGTCTGAGACTTGGAGGGGGGGTCAGCACTTTAAAAAAAATTAAACCACATGAAAGGCTCTTGTGTTCTTTTATTTTGTTTTCAAGTTGTTGTTGATTGCTTGGAAAGCCACCATTTCCAGTCCATTGCTTTCTAATTCATTCCCGTCCAAGGTGTTATTTTGTATGGGCAGCACTCCTGCGCTACCCTGCCATGGCTGTTGATTACTCCGTAATTAAGGCCCCTATGGCGAGGAGAGAAAGCACCCCTTTCACAACACTTCCTTATTCCTTTAGGTTTTCATTCCCATTGGAACATTGTTTAGACTTGTCCTTTGGAAAGCCTTTCACTGGACTCTTTTGGCTGTGAGGTTGTTTTCTCAGAACATTCTGAATTTGGGGACCAAAGCAGATGCCTTCAGCTAATGTGCTATTGAGACAAGAAAGATGATGCTAAACAAAACTCACTGCAAAAGGTGTCACCAGAGTGGTGATTAATGCTCCCTTTTTCAAGTCTATACGCTTTGCTCCTCCACTGAAATCCTTCTCCGTGGTGCAGAAGTCACCCAGAGTTCTCAAAGACATGCCAAGAGAGCACAGGCTTTGGAAGGATGTACACAGTGCCATGGACTCAGAGTACAGATCTAGGGGTAGATTGTGTGTTTTCATTTAGGGACCAGCTGAGTTTTGTTTGGAAAGGTTCATTATTCAAATGTGGCCATACGGTATTCTTTCAATCACTATAATTCACAAAAGCTGTCTGGAAATAGACATCAGTGAATGTAGATTTCAATGTACGTCACAGTGAAAGAGTTGATTAGGGGGAGTCCCTGAGCAAACAGACTAATTTTCTAATCAAGTTAATGAGATTACTGGGTATGGAACTTTGTCTAGAGAGTCATCTAAGGTGCATCTCTTCATAAAGTATGCTGACTGTTTTTTATACTAATTGAGTTTCAGAGATTAGGGTTATCTCCCTATGGTTACCTTCCTAGGAATCAGCTGCCCTCCTCCCCATTCCCCTATAAAAATGAACTCCCAGGCTTCCTTTTCCAGTTTAGAAAGACAAACAGGTTCCCAGCAGTAAGGACATACATTCTGGTGTGAGGGAGAGCACAGCAGAACTTTTTCCATACCCAGGAGCAGGTAAGTAATTTGTTGCAAAGAGCACGACAAGCCACATGCATTTATCCAGGTATTCAGAGAGGAGAGCGCCTGGATCTTAGGCTTCTGTCTTTCTTCTGCTTTTTTTCTTACTTTTTGAAGCACAGGTCAGAAATCAGAGACCTGACAGTGGATTTCCCCAGCTCAAGAAATGATAGCAACTGGGCCACTAAGAGATTTCTTGCAGAATGACATAGCAGAAGCAGGTATATGTATGCATGGTGTGCCCAAATTGAAGAGTTCTCAAATTTGAGAATTCTGGGATTGGATTTTTGAATGAGAGAAGTAGCAAAAGGGATTTACTCATATGTAGCTTCCTGGAGAAAGAGGAAAAATCATCTGTGTATTTCCTATACAACATCCTACTTGGAAAATAAAGACAGGAAATTATTCACTGTACGCATGGTGGAAAAATTGCTTTTTCAGCACTTCCCAAATTATATTTACCTTCTGGGGGAAGTTAAACCACAGACTTGCACTATGAGTCTTGGAGGAAGTGTTATGGACCCTGTGGGAGAAAGGAGTTTCACCAGAATACCAGGGGATTGCCCTCCTGGGACTTACCTAAAGTCTAGTTCCCTTCTGGCAGAGCCAATGAACCATTTGAATGCTTTATACTTTTCTTGGTTTATGAGCTTCTGTGAATGCAATGCATCTTTGGCATACTTGGGGTAGGGGTAAAATAAAGTCTTTCCTGTGCCTAATATGCATTTAATTTCCTGAGTGCTTTGTGGGAGATGGAGACTTCTTTTACCCACATTTGGGGAAACCGAGGCTCTCCGATTAGGAGTATTTCTTGATGAAATTTCACAGGGAAGCAACAAACTAAAAATTGGAAATTGATCTGCTTGATATCAGGCCCTTTGGATTGGACCCAGTCAATGGGAGCCCAGAGCCTTGGGGCCTATTATCACTGGTTATAACAGAATCTCAGAAATTTAGAATTGGAAAGGACCTCAGAGGTCAATCTAATTCAACTCACACATGAAAAAGAATTCCCAATACAACACATCAAATAATTGGTCATTCTTCCTTCGTGTGACATGTTCAGCTGAGGAGGACCCACTAAGTGCGGGGGCGGCCATTTCCTTTGTAGTTTGCTCTTTTCTTTGGGAAGGTTGTTATTACCCCCCACATCAAACCTAAACTTCTCTCTTTGCAACTTCTACCCATTGCTACTAGTTCACCCCTTTGCTGCCAAGCATAGGAGATTGAATTTCTCTAACCTTGATAGATGACATCCTTTCAAATAACTGGGGGCAGACATCTATTATGGCACCCTTCATGCCTTTTCTCCTCCAGGCTAAATATACTGAGTTCCTTCAGCCACCGACTCAAGGGTCTTTACCACTCTGGTTGCACTCCTCTGGATGGTCACTAGCTCATCAAAGTTCTTTCTAACCAGTGATGTCCAGAAGGGAACTAATTGGTAGAGAGAGACTATTAATTATTGTTCATTCTTCCTTCTCAAAGAGGGCTAATGACAATCAGGAGTGCAATGTCTTGATTTGCAAGTGAATTGGATTTGAGTGAGGCATTCACCAGCCTCACTCTCCTCCACAGTCATCAGAGTCCAGTGGCAAGACAGAGACCTAGATGATTGGCGATGGCCTAGGATACAATGGGAGATCTTGGCCTTTTTAAGATAAGGTCTTTCTCAGGTCACAATTTGAGGCAACATCTATTCAGTAATTAAAGGCTAGGTAAGAACTGAGGCAAAAGATAGCCTAGTTTGATTTCATAAAAGAATCAGTCTAGAAGGAGAAGATGCTCAGAGTTTCTAGCCAGAACAGAAACTATTTGAAACTACGTGTCTCTTAATGCAACTTCTGATTTAATGGCTAGAGGGTGGAATATTAGAGTCCTCCCAATGCCTTCCTTTATAGAAGGCAGAAACTGGACTTTGGCTCACTCTACTGTGTCTGCTGCTCTGCCTGGTTTCAACTTCCCAGGACAAGATGCCCCCATACTAGGTATCCCCTGGCATGCCCCACCCATTTCCTGCCTTCTTTTGTGTGTTATTTCCCCCCCTTCTCCATCCATTTGATTGTAGGCTTCTTGAGGGTAGGGACTGTCCTTTTTCACCCAACACTTAGCATGGTGCTTAGCACTTATTGTTTCTGTTCAGTTGGTTCAGTCATGTCTGACTCCCCATGACCCCATTTGGGATTTTCTTGACAAAGATACTGGAGGAGTTTTCCATTTCCTTCCCCAGCTCTTTTTATAGATGAGGAAATTGAGGCAAAAGGGTTAGATTATTTGCCCAGGGTCACACAACTAGTAAGTATCTGAGGCTGGATTTGAATGCAGGAAGATGAGTCTTTCTGACTCCAGATCCAGTATTCTATCCACCCATCTGTAGGCACTTAATAACTGTTTATTGAATGGTATTGGACCCAGAACGCATTAAGTCCACACCTTCCCATCCTTAGCCCCTATTGCCATATATGTTCTATCTTTTCCTCCTAGAATTTCAGCTCTTTGAGAGCAAGGACTGCCATATTTTTAAAATATTTGTATTTGTATCATCAAGGCTTAGCATATGATAAACACTTAATGCATGATTTTCTTTTTTCTGTTGATTCTTTAGCTTGTTTGACTGCCCATCATACTGCAAACTCATGTTTACCTGGCACATAGGAAACAAGCATTTATTAAGCCCCAACGATGTACCAGTCACTGGACTAAGTTTTGGGAATACAAATATAAAGAGAAAAAATAAAGCCCAGGTCTACTTTTGAGGAACCTCAGTTCTAATGGGTGTAGACAACACACAAAAGGGAGAGGATGGGGCCCCCACCTTGGGGCTTGGTTTTGAAATTCACAAAGTCTGGAGTAGAGCTGGAAGGGAAGTAAAAGTTGGTGGGCCAGGTAGATGCCCCCAGAGAAACTCACCAAAGGGAGACTGGGTTAGCTGTCTCTCCCATTTTTGTATAATTTGCAACCCCAGTGGAGTACCAAAAAAGCCACAACTGATTTTGATCTGTTGAAGTCAATGACATTTTAACATGATAATTGTCTTCAATTTATTTTATTTTAATTCTTTTAACATGACAAATGTCTTATTTTTGTTTTGTTTTTGTTATTTTAACATGACAATGATTTGGTTGATTGAATTCATTACTTACATTTTATGAATGGATGGCCTAAGAGCCAAAATATACACCTTGAAAGATCCAGTGGAACTTGGTAGAATTAGTTGCTTAATATCTTGTTGGCTATCGCTAAAGATGTTCCTGAAAACAGATGACTTCTCTTTGGAGTGGTCCTGCAAAGAACCATGAAAGTCAAATCATTCTTAGGGGAAGCAATATAATGCAGGGTGCAGTCAGGGGTGTGCATTCAAATTCTAGTGATGTTACTTATTACCTAAGTGAAGTAAGTCACTTCATATCTCTGGGCCTCAGTTTCCTTATTTTTAAAATGAGAGGGTCTTATAGATAATCTCCAAAGTACCTTATGATCTAGATTTATCTGCTCATTTAGAAAATATAAAATTATATCTGCTAGACATAGTTACTTAAGGCTGCATGGTCACTTGGCTGTATACCTAGAACTCAAACCTGTGTGTACTGACTCTCTTAGTACAAAGCTGTTTGGACTCTGGACTCCTACCATACCACCATTACTGTTGACTCAAGAGCTGAGATTCTAAAATTTATACTTGGTATTCTCAAGATGATAGAGCTTATGGAGGGACCCTCAGAAAGCATTTTGTCCAAGTGATTCATTTCAGGGAAGAAATGGAGGCCCAGAGTTGCCCTAGGTCATGTGGGGAGTTAATGAGTAGAATTACTAATGAAACCTAGGTTCTCTGGTTGTGAATTCAGAAACCATCTCCTTCCAAATGTTCAACTACCATCTGCATGTATATGTCACAAAAATCTATGTGTTCATCTCTGCCCTCTGCCCTCTGGTCCGTGTCTATCTTACATTGCCTCCAGCTGGATTTCTTTTTGCTATTTCAGCTTGCACGTGGGAAGGCAGCTGCTTTACTTCAGGACCCTACCCTGGGCTGACCTTTACCTACCAAGGTAGTTAGGGAAGACCTGTACCAGGCTTTGAAACCCATTGCAGAGTGAGGTTAATCCTTCCATTATCCCAAGGAGCCAAAAAGAATCTCCAGGCCACAAGCACTACTGATAACCCCCAGATGCAGGATGAAAAGAGGAAATTGCACCAAGCCTGAACTTGTTTCACAGATAAAAGAACACTTCAATAGCCATGGCTTTCTTTTGGGGTAAACACATCTATTTTAGAGTTTCTAAATGTTTTTAATGAGCAGATTCAACACCCACTCCATCTGAAAGCAAACACAAGACTTCAAGAGGCTTGTCTGGGGATACATGGACCCAAGGAAATGGTATGCAGTATTTTGGAGGACTTCCATCTCAGCAACATTTGGAAATTTTAATGAATATTTTGATTTCATGTGATAAAAGGGAAAAATGTGTAAACTATGACATACATACCAGATCTCAAAATGTTCCATCAGAATATCAATAATACTCTTTGGAGAATGAAGCAAAATTCATCTAGGGGTCAGTGTATAAAGGAAGAAAAGGTCTGTTTGCAATGTGAGTTAAATAGTTCTCTGGCCTGGGTCTGGTTAATGTCATGTCCTTCACTTCTGAGAATGGTCTTCCTAGCTCATGCTTTGCTTGTGAGCAGCTCCTGGAGTGTTTTTGCCTTAAAAGACTTTGTTCATTGTTTAAAAAAAATTCGATGACCTTCCACTTATTCTAGATAATGCTGGTTCATTGAAAAACAGCTGCCAATCTGTCATGGCACTGGACAGATGGACTCAGAAGAATAGCACCCAATGGCACCAGTTTGATTACAGAACAAGCACTACACCTTGTTTATTTCCAAGAGGTCATACAATTTCAGGAATATCTCTTCTTATTTGTATTTTTCTTAACTTGAAAACAAATCATCAGCATCAGTAACAATAAATGTTAGGAGCAAACCACGTGCCCAAAAACATCTTGCAGGGGGAAGTACAAATGCTAGGTAAGACTGTAATTCCTTACAGGAAAATAGAAGGGGAAGGGGATAAGAGAAGGGAGGGGGGAGAGATAGAAGAGAAGGCAGACCAGGGGAAAGGGTATTCAGAATGCATGCCATCTTGGAGTAGGGAGAGGGGGGAGAAATTTGGAACTCAAAAACTTGTGGAAGTGAATTATTGAAAACTAAAAATAAATAAATTTATATTAAAAAAAAAGACCATAATTCCTCATGTAGTCACAACAATGTTGTACAACTCTGCCTCACTGAAGGTACTGTGATGAGAAACTCAAATCTGGAGGGCTCATTATCAGATTTAAATCCAGGTCTGCAAGGTGTGTAGGCAAAGCATTAAGGACAATTAAAGCCTTACCTAAGAATCTTCATATCTGGCACAACACTGAACTGTATTCATCCCAAACGAAGGCAATGCACCCTCCAAGCCCCCATGGGCAAGAGCTGCTGCTGGGGAGGGGAAAGGTTGGGTTAGGGCTGCAGCAGCTCACAAGTGAACATTTGATGGCATACTATTATAACAAATTCTTGCTGACTAGGTATTAAGCTGTATTGTTTCTTCATTCTCAAGGAATGCAAATGATATTAGAGACCTCTAAATTTGTCACCCTGGGGTAAAGCCCCAGTAATATTGCCCTGGTTATGGCTCTAACTTTTACTAAGAACTTGCCCTTTTAAAAGATGACAAATAAGCAATTTGTAATGTTATACACATTTAAGATTGAGTGGAAATAAGCAAAAAATGATAGCATTACTTGGGCCTTCCTTGAACCTATGGCCCTCAAAATTTGCATAGAAATATAATCCTCTTAAAAAATAATGTCTTGGGGGCAGCTAGATGGCACAGTGGATAGAGCACTAGCCCTGAAGTCAGGAGGACCTGAGTTCAAATCCAGCCTCATACGCATAATATTCACTAGCTGTGTGACTATGGGCAAGTTAGGGTTAGGGTTACCCCCCCCCCCAAAAAAAAAAGTCTTGTTGTGGCCTTTTTTTTTTTTTACCATTACAATTACTCCCCTCTCCTATCACCATCACTACTGAAACCTACTTTGAAATAAGGAAAAACAACTAAACAAACCTATCAACAAAGTAACTTCTTCTGACAACCTATGCAACATTCTATGACTTTATCCTCCTGCCTCCCTAATGAGAGGGGAATTAGCATCCGCTCCCAGGACCTAAGACAGATCACTACATTCATTATTAGCTCAGCTTCTTTGCAGTGTTCTATTTTTCTTTACATCCACTCCTGACTTCTCCAACATAACACTCCCACTATTGCCCAGACTTTCTCTTGTCATCAGTCTCTTCCTATTTACTGACTCCCTCCCTGTATATGGGTATAGTGGTATTCCTCATCCTTAAAATACCCTTACAAGATCGAACCATACTCACCAGTTATCATTTGTCTCTTCTTCCTTTCAAGGCTAAATTTCTGGAGATAACTGTCCATACTTGATGACTTTCCTTCCTTTTTCTTTACTCTCTTTGAAACCCTCTGCAATTTGGATACTGACCATATCATTCAACTGAAACCGCACTCTCCAAATTCACCAGTGAGCTTTTTGCTTTTTAATCTGAAAGCATCTTCTCAAGCTGAATACTCCGAGGACTATGCATCATTCTAGACTGCCAAACACCCCCTTCTTCTCCATCATAGGCTCATGGGTTCAATCATTCCATTGAGGATGATTCCAGATCTATATAACCAGCCCTATCACTCAAGAGAGCTCTAGTCTCACCTTTCCAGTGGCTTTTTGGACATCTTGAGCTGGGTGTCCCATAAGCATCTCAAACCCAATGTGCCCTCGTATTTCTTCCTAACCCTCCCTTTTTCTGACTTCCCTATTAATCTTGAGGACATAATTATCCTTTCAGTCACTCAGCTTTGAAATCCTGGTGTCATCCTCCTTACTTGCCAAATCTTGTAATTTCTTTCTTTACAAAATTGTTCAAATAAATCTTCTCCCCACTCACATAACCACTACCCTGCCCAGTTCAGGCCCTCATCATTTCTCATCTAGAATATCTCATTAGCTCTCTAGCTGGTGTCAGTACCTCAAGTCTCTCTACATTCCAATCTGTCTTTCACTGAATTGCCAAAATGATATCCCTAAAATGAAGTCTAATTATGTTCCTTCAATACTCAATAAATTGTGTTTCTCTGTTACTTTCAAGATTAAATGCAAAACCTTTAATTTGACAATTAAAGTTTTTCACAATTGCCTCTTTTCAATCTTTTTACATTCTACTGCACCCTATGAACTCTATGATGGCCACATGGTTCCTTGAACATGAAGCCACATCTTCCGTTTCTGTGTCTCATGCCTTAGATGCTCTCCGTTCCAGCATTCCACCTCTGGCTTTCTTCACTTTTGGGAGGATTTTCCCATTACCCCTTAGTTCTCAGTTGCTAACAGCAGCCACATTAAGGTTCCAACCCATTTACTTTTATCTTATCTTATATGTTTTCATTTATATGTTATCTTTCCCATTAGAATGTAAGCTCCTTCAGGGCAAAGACTGCTTTTGCTTTTTCTGTTTATTCTTAACACTTAGAACAATGTCTGGCATGCAGTGAATGCTCAATTAATCTTTGGTGATTGAAAGTATAAATGATGTTTTCTGTGACACACAATGAGCTAGGAAGAGGAAAAAGCAGGCAGATTCCCTAAAGTGGGTTTTGGAGTAGAATTAACCCCAAACAAAGGACCAGGGAAGATAGAGTTGAGAAATTTGACAGAAATAGGAACACAGGGTAGAGGAGTGGAAAGGCACCATCCCTTCCCCTGACATCTCGCTTAACAAAGGAGAAGTGTTTAGGTGGCCTGAGTAAATTCTATTTAAGTCAATTTCAGACTATGTGGGGAATCTATTATCTGCTTTCCCATCCTCTGTAATATTATACTTATGAATATGGCACAATCAAAATCCCCCATGCTGGCTGTCTCAAGTCTGGACTGAAGCCCAATTACACTTATCTGCCAGCCCCAGAACTGAGGGGAAAAGTGAACATATAGGCAACTCTTTGTTTATTTTTGTGCCTTTCATGGTGCAAGAAATGAACCTCTGGAATCAAAGGACCTATGTTCAAATGCTTCTTTTGTCACTGCTTTTGTGACAAGCCACTTAATTTTCCTGGGCCTTGGTTTCCTCATTTGTAGTGAAGGACTTGAAGTAATGACTTCTATGGCCATCACTGGTAACCGGTTCCCTACCTATCTTCCAATGTTAAGTAAATGGTGGTAGTGGCAGAATGGATGTTCCTAGGATTAGATGTTTCTAGGTTACGAGCCTGGGTGGCTGGAAAGATAGTGAAGTCCTCACTGGTTTGGAAGAAAGGAGGGTTCCAAAGAAAAAATAATGAGTTTAGTTTTGGACATGTTGAGTTGAAGTTGTCTAGGGGACATCTGATTCAAGCTGCTGGAAATGGGAGACTGGAGATAGAGAGAGATTAAAAGTGGATGAATTAGATCTGAAAATCATGTGCATACAGAAGATAATTGAATCCATGAGACCTGATGAGATCAACACGTGAAATAGCATAGAGGGGGAAAAGATGAGGGACTAATCCTATGGGACAACCTCATTTAGCAGCACCCTCATTTGTTACCTGAATGAACATCCAGCAAAGGAGATTAAGGAGGGGTCAGATAGGAGGAGAACCATGGAAAAGCCATGTCATGAAAACCAGGAGAGGAGAGAACATCTAGATAGAGAGGATGGTCAGCAGAGTCAAAGGCAGAGGGAGAGCAAGATCAATGAGGATTGATTGATAGGTAGTTTGTTGTTGTTGAGTCTTTGGGTTGTGTCTGATGCTTTGTGACCCCATTTGGGGTTCTCTTGGCAAAGACAATGGAGTGGTTTACCATTTGCTTCTCCAGCTCATTTTACAGATAAGAAACTGAGGCAAACAGGGTTAAGGGACTTGTCCAGGGTCACATTGCTGGTAAGTGTCAGAGGCTGGATTTGAACTCAGGGGTATGTCTTTCTGACTCCAAGCCCAGTGCTCTATCCACTGTACCACCTAGTTGCCCTGATATATAAGAAATTCCTTCATTAGTGTGCCTTGATGGGTTGACTATCCCTGGACTAATGGAAGCTTTTCCCCACAGTAGACTTGGGTATTTTTTTTTAAACTTTCAATTCCTGCATTTATTATTGCTGTTCAGTTGTTTTAGTCTAAAGGGAAAATAATAGAAAATATACCCAGCAAGGGCTATTAAATCACCAGAATTGCTTTGATTTGTAGAGTATTTTAGATAGGAGCTGCTGTTAGAGGACCCATTATTTTTATTATTATAGCAGGGGTTTTTTTTGAGGGGAGGGGTCAAAGTGGCATTTGGACAGAGAAGAAAGTAGGATGCTTCCCCTTGGAGAGTCCCCAAACTCTTGTGAGTGGAGCCATTACAGTGACTTCATCTCCATCGAAGTGGTACAATGGCTAGTGTTGGGGACCCAGAGTATGGAAAATCTGAGTTCAGATCTAGCCTCAGATACTTACTAGCTGTGTGACACTGGTCTAGTCACTTAACCCTGTTTGCCTCAGTTTCTTATACTTTGTTTCCTCAACTGTAAAATGAGGATAATAACAGTACTATTCCCCAGGGTTGTGTGAGGATCAAGTCAGTTATTTGCATAGTGCTTGGCATAGAATAGGTAACAAATGCTTGTCCTTTCCTTCCAGTCACCACCTACAGATCCATCCCTGAGATGGGGTTTCCATGCGCATGCATGTGCAGAGGAGTCCAATCAAGCTTCATGTGACTTCTGCTCACTGACGTCCCCCCTGCTGCTGAATAATGCTGCTTCTTATGACCAAGCCTTTGTGAAAACATCAGATTCACATTCTTAGCTCACTTTGGGAAGTTATGAATCAGAAAATTGAATTAATCAAATGAAATTAAAATGGAATTAATTAAATGAAGGAGAAATGCAGATTTTTATAGTCCACAAGTTTCTCTTTCATTTAATTGATTTCATTTTAATTTCATTTATTAATTAAACTAAAATAATTTTATCTAATTTATCAATTTGATTAAAATAGTTGATAGAATTAGGGGCTGCAATTTCTAGAGCCCCTGGTCAGGATGACCACACTCAAACAATTCTGGTGGCTTCCTATTGCCTCTATAATACAATAGAAGAAACTTGTAACTTTAAGTTTTAAAGCCCTACATAATCTGGTCCTGACCTATCTTTCCAGTCTTATTTGAAATCATTTCCACACCCTGCTCTCCTGCCAAAGTAAATTTCTCACTCAAAACATACCATTTCCCTTCTGTGAGCCTTTGACCTAGCCAGTCTCGATGCCTAGAATGGACTCCTTCCTTACTTCAGGGTTGTAGTATGCCTATTCCTTTAAAATGTATCTCAGGGACCATTTGATATAAGAATCCTTTGCTCACTTCCACTCCCTCCCTGCCAAATATCCTTCCTCCCTCCCA